GGGGGGGGGGGCTGTAGCATATGGGTAAGAACCCCTTTGAAGCTGGGTGGGAAGGTAAGACCACATTCGAGTGTAGGGCGGAGGTCGAGAGGACTAGACCCAGAATCAACAACACACGCGCCCTGCCCCACGGCCACCACAATGTGTGTCGACGCCGTGACACAAGATTACGCTAGGTTGCCTATTCGCTCTCCCCGTAAGGCGCCATGGCCCCTGGCGTATGCAGACCCGCAACACTGTTGTGCCGCAGCCCTCACACGTAGGGTACACTCCCAAACGGATGTAGCCAGCACACATCAAGTTGGGCTACGAGGGCCACGTCCCGGTGCACCTGCACTGATCGCCACCGCAGGGCAACCCACTCGCATGTCTACATGGGGTACAGTGATCCTTTGCAAAGGGGGGACGCTACTAGGGCCGACCAGAAAGCTGATGTGGGCCGCATCGCTCGCTATTTTAAGCTGACGACGAGTGACAAACCGGGGCACGGGCATGGGCACACAGCTAAGGCTCTAACTGAAAGCAGAAAGCGGGCAAGACGCAAATTCTTACACTGGGCGCCGCTTGTCGCGGCTGGACTGACCCGCGCTGACGAGGATGTCCCCCAGCAGGGCCTCCTTGCCGCTCTCGAGCTCGCGCACCGTGGACACCCAGCGGCCCTGCTCCGAGGCCACGCCGCCCAGCAGGCGGCGGGCGCGGTCCATGCGGTCCTCGCACAGCTGCGCGCGCGCCTCCAGCTCGGCCTTCTCCTCCTCCGTCACGCGCAGCTCCTGCTGCAGCGCCTCCAGCCCCGCCATGATCTGGGCACAGAGAGTGGGAATGTTGCAAACTCGACGAGGACCCCCCTTAAATAATTGCGAAACGCGAATCCCCCCACCTCTGCCATCCGGTCTCGCGTGGCTTTGAGTGCCTGCTTTGTAATGTCGAGCTCCCTGTTGGCCTCGGCCAACTTCTCTTTCTTGGGCCTCACGTTCTGGTACACGAAGTAGAATTTGTAGATGGCGTGAGTCCACACGCACAGCGACCCGCACGCCTTGGACACCTGCCACGGAAAGGTAATGTAAATATAATTGCATGTATTCATACCAGAGCAGCATGAAAAAACACGGCCAATTAGCTGGAGAGCCCCAAGTGCAAAGCTCGCCCACATCAAAGGAAAGGTTGTTTTCCTTATTTTACTAAACGAGGAGAAAATCCCTTAATTGAAACAAAGCCAGCGTTTTAGGAGACGATTTTTAAATTACATAGACGGTCTCACAAATTTTCTCCGCAAGAGGATGCAAAGCCCACACCAATAGGTCAATTTTAAAAATTGTACCCACCTTGACGACAAAGTTTGGCTGAAACTGCGGATTCTCGATGTAGGGTTTCAGCTTCTTGACAATGTCCTCCGTCATGTTTTCCTTGTCGTAGGTGACAAGCGAATTAAGGAAGTGATCGGGATTGACGAGGAGCGCGGTGCCCGGCGTCCAGAAGTCGTTGACCTTCTCTCCAATTTTCTCGCCAGGGACCTAGGGGCAGGAGCGTGTTAGTTCAAAGGGCATAGGGATCAAATCGGGACGACGCACGCAGGGACCCGGGTGAGTTCAAACTAATTATCTCAGCCGCCAGTCAACAGTGGACTCCCCACGGAGAGCTAAAGGGGAAGAGGTGGGGGGGGGGAGGGGGAAGGTGCTACAGGTTGACGGTGGCTGGAAAAGAAGGTGGTGGTGGGGGGAAGGGGAGGGGTATTATTAAATTTCAAACTCGGTACTTGGTGACACAAGTTGTCTTCCAAGGGAATAGTTGGGAGATGCGATTGTTCATGCGTATGCGTACCATACGATGACGTAGGTGACGTCCCCTGCCATGCCCTACCGATGACCGTAATAAAAAGCAATCGCATACATAATTTGCAAAATGCAGGAACAGGTGTTTTTTTCTTTATATTTCTCATGATTTCAGTGCAAACAGGAACGACCAGCCTAACTGTCTAGGCCCCGCATGCTGACGTCTACGGTTACCATGAACTAAAACTGCTCGCCAACATTTATTTTAGCAGCCGGGGTCTCATAAAAAAAAAAGAGAAAAAAAGAAGATGTATGAAGCGCAACCGCTAAAGTCGCAACAGGAAGCTGAGCTAAGGGGGGAAGGAAGAAAAAAAGGGGGGGGAAGAAAGATGAAGGAGACTGACGCCTCTCGCCTTTCTCACTCATACGTCCGGAAGTACATCTCTCCTGCCGACACTCGGCTCGCCCTTCCCCTCCACTTTCATTTCTCTCACTCTGCTCGCCTTTATTTTCGCTGCGCTCAAACACGAGCGAGAAGTGCGCTTCCGTCATGGTTAAGTTTCTGGAGAGTGCGAGGGAGGTAAGTACAGAGTACGGAAAGGCGGACGGAGTTTGCAAGGCAAAGGCGCCCCAAAGTGTGGGGGCGAGTGGGCGCGTGGCCGCGTTAGACCGTCCCAAAAAAATGCTGTTTTCAAAAAGTGCTCGGGACACATTGCCGCAGTAAACGGACTGACTAGTAGATACTAAAACGATTTTTTTCCGATTTTTTGAGTTGAATTTAGAGGTCGCGCATGAATTTTTAACGTTTTTTAACACAAAAACTGCGATTGTGCGGGAATTGGCGAGTTGCAGCTTCCTCTGGACGGTCCCACACTGTTCTGATTCTGCATACTGTTTCCCTCTATCCCTCTCTCGCCCCTATCGCTTTGCGGGGGTCCGAACCGCATGCTTACTTCATTCTTATAGCCCTAAAGAGATTTATAATAACTCAAATTGCGTCTGTGAGGAGTACCTTATCTAGCAAACGAGCATTACACCAAAACAATAGAGTAATGTTCAATTCTTGCCGTCGAGGTCGGGGGATTGTTTGTGGGATTTTCACATATTTTATGGCATTTTTTTTTTTACTTTTGGTTTTAAACCTGTGTCAATTTAAATAGTCGATTGGGAATAAACTAAACTGTACATTATTCTAACTGTACTGTTCTTGCCTGCAGCAATGATGGTACACTGTTAAAAAATTGTTGTAAATTTAGAACACATTTGATGCAAAGTTTGATAGCAACAAATGTTGATAAAAACAAAACATGTTTTAATCCAACAACGTTCACAAAATTTTCTGAAACAATTTTTAATTTCAAAACAGTGGTCATTTACGTCTACCAGCACCGCAAGTTTGTAATAACACAATCTTGTTCGTTCTGTAACGATATATCTTGCTACTATCAAACATTCCAACGGTTTTGTTGTAATATTGCTGCAACATAGTGAAAAGTAGGAATCGTTGTTATGGACCACTACGGTCAAAATAGAAGGAACTTTGTCACATGACAATGAAAACGAATGGTAGTGTTTTTATAACAAGCTAGTCATCACTGAGAGTATGATAATTTGACAACCTTTTTTCAACTGTGCATGGCTCTGAACCACCGTTTCGGACTTTACTTTCTTCTCTTGGGGTATAATTTTACAGGGGTCAAAGGCTGTTAAGACACCCCGCAATGTGATAGGGGCAAGAGAGGGATAGAGGGGAACAGTGTGCGCCATCAGAATGATGAGGGAGCGTCCAGGGGAGGCTGCAACTCGCTAATTCCGGCAAAATCGCAGCTTTTGTGGTAAAAAACGTTAAAAATTCATGCGCGACCTCTAAATTTAACTCAAAAAATCGGAAAAAAATTGTTTTAGTATCTACTAGTCAGTCCGTTTACTGCGGCAATGTGTCCCGAGCACTTTTTGAAAACAGCATTTTTTTGGGACGGTCTAGGCCGCGTGGGCGCGTGATACTTACCCTATTCGGGGCAACGCCCATGGCGATGCAGATGGCCTCGATGACCAGGACGACGCCGGCAGGCGGTTTCTTGAGCGCGCGCACCTCGCTGATGTCGTTCTTGTTGAGCGCCTTCAGGCTCTTTTCCGCCTCCAGCAGCGCGGGCATCGCCTCGGCTACAAAAATAAATAAATAGAATTTTGGTCAGAAATTTCATTACCTTTCAACTTTTTCGGTGCATCTGGCGAATAAAGGGCCCCCTTAAAGCCAAGCAAGTGATTCCTAGTAACACATAAGTACACTACAGTCCACGTCGAAGACTCCACGACATTACGTTTTCCCATTATTTGTTTGTTAAACTTTCAGCCTCACTGTTTCCTTGCTCTGTCGCATTATTTAAACACGTGTTCGCACGCGCTGGGCCTCCAACATGAGCCTGGGTGAAACACGAGGACAGCGGCAGAGGCAAACACACCAGTGGCATAGCAATTTCATATCCATACGCAAGAGACAGCTCGTATTCGAAGAAAACTGTCTCGCACACTGTCTCCGTAATCGCACCCAGGTCGTCCTCGGCGTCCTGGGCGATGGCAGCGCACACGGCGCTCTTTTCACTCGCTGTCTTCTCCTCCCGCTCTGCCTCCTGTTTGGCGCGCTCCACCCGCCCCTGCGAACACCATATGCCACACATCAAAAAAACGTTTGAAAAAAAAAAAGGTTGCACGCGGACGAGCTGTAAAAGCTTCACAGATTAGCCTAACAGGTAATAACATTAGCTATACAGTTTGATTTACAGTACGCCTAATTTGTTTTTCCAGTATCAAGTAGTGCGAGTTGTAAACCTTCTCGCCGCACGGCATCGTCAAAAAAGACTAGACATTACAGTGAAGAGATCGGCGCCGCCCTTAAAATTTATAAATTTTAAGACTGATATTTTCGTGTCACCTTACAATTGACACTGAAATAATTACAGGTTTGAACTGTTATACAAACCAGTGTTAGATTGTAACATTATTATTGTCAACAGGTGGGGACCCACCGTGTCTGCGGCAATCTTGTCCAACATTACGATGGTCTCCTGCTGGGCTTTGAGCAGTGCAGGCCGCATAGCCGCCAGATCTTGCTGCAGTTCCGCCACCTCTTCGCCCGTTTTCTGTAGCTTGCCGAGACCTGGAAAGGAAACAAGAGGAAGAGGAGAGAGCAGCTGGTGATTAATTGTCGGCATCTTGTACTTTCTCTCTGGATCTAGGATTCTTTGTGAATCATCGATCCACACGGTCTTTTGATTGGAAATTCCGAGGAAAGGCGGGAGGGAGAAACCAGAGCAATCACTGCCTTCCTCTCGACAGCCTGGGACGCGCAACCTTTCTTTGGGCTCCTTGCTGTTCTCGCTCGGAGTCCGTCAGCGCGTGTTATTAGGGGTCGATAGGTAAGCAATTTTACGCCGCCGTAAGACCTTCGCCCTCCCATTTCACAACCAAACCGCTCTCTCGCTTCCCGTAATTCTTTATATTCAAAGCACGCTTCTCTTCTGTGTGAGATTGCCCCTCCACGCCCATGTTGATTAGGAGCCGGATCTGGCGGTCCGCATCGGATATACCGCTCTTGGGGTACAGGCCGTGCGATCAGGGGGTCGCGGTCGCGCACGTGCCTCACCACACACATGATGATTTGGGCATTGTCGTGCCACCACCAAACAATGTATCGTCGTCACTTTGGATGAATATGAAATCGATAAAATCACACGCGGACAGGCAATGTCACCCCCGGACCTCGACCATTTATTGTTATTAAAAAATACTGTCACACACAAACACACTCAGAAAACCGTTTTGCCCGCTGTCAATTCTTTGTTCGGCTGACAAATAGCTTTTCCGAGTGCACAAGCCGACATTGAAAAACATCAGAAGGCGGCATTACAACTTAACAGTGCAGCCTTTCGTTCGCAATTAAAAGGGAAGCTCCTACTGTCTGCCCACAGAGAAAGCAATAAGCGGCAGGGGACGCCATCCCATAAAGTGCGGCCCGAGCCTCCGTGCCGGGTCCCATCGGACAAGTGGCGCCCCAGGCAACGGCGATCCCATCGCGACAGGCACTGAAATCCGTTTTGGGATACTTTTATTGAATTTCTGCGATAACTGGCGTTTTGCGATTCCCACACTAAAGGGCATGATAACCCCCAAATTGTGATAAAAGTATGACATTATTTTGATAAAATCATCACAAAAACTGTAATAAAAAGTTATTAAATATTTTTGTGATGGCCTTATCCCAATAATCTGATACTTTTATCACTTTTTTGGGGTTATCATACCCTTTAGCGTGGGAATCGCAACACACCAGTTATCGCATTGTTTTTGGTTAAAAGCATCGCAAAATCAGCCTCAGTGGGGACGAACCTTTGCGGAGCCTGAGGATAGCCTGGTCCATCTCGGCTCGCTTCTTCACCAGCAGTTCCGAGTAGCTCGTCAGCAGCTCCAAGTAGGAGGTTGGGGTCACGTAGTAATGCCTCGACAGTTCCTGAAGACGAAATCGTTGAGTACTCACAACACGATGTGTAAGAAAGAATTGTTTTGGTTTAAATTAAATCTAATGAGTATAAGCAAGCTTGGGGCACGACCTCACAAAAGCAAGATCTCTACCGAGCGACGCTGGAGTGCTCTGGAAACTAAGGTGTGAGACAGTCTCACACGGAATGGTGTGAGACTGTATACCTCACACGAAAAGGGGTATGAGGCAAACGCCAAATTGTGAGAGACTCATTGTGCCTCAGCAAGTTGAGTGATACTTCCTCATACCAAATGGCGAGCCAAATGGTGTGAGGAACAGAGAGTCTCACACCATTTGTTGTGAGGAACAGAGTCTCACACCATTTAGTGTGAGGTATTTTGCCTCACACCATTTGGTGTGAGACTGACTCACACTTGAGTTTCCAGAGTGGCAACCCAGGCCCCTATTGGCCACGGCTACGCTGGCTGGACGCCACCCCGATCTCCCCCAGAGGGGAAGGGGGGGGGGGGGGGGGCGTTGCATTAGCTTGCCTCATAAGGTCCTGGGGAAACGCTCGGGAGAGACCTGGTCTTGAATTGCACGTGGGATCGCCCTCCAGCCCTACTCAAATTCACTTAGGCGACCCGGGCGAAATCAGCCTCGTTGACAGGCATCGAGGCACTTGAGTATGCAGGAGGATAGACCCCCAATGCCTGGCGAGGCAGTCTCAGAATAAGGTTTATTGGTTTTATTGGAATTGGCGTAAAGAATTGGATACACAGGAATAACCAATTTAACTGCAGGGCGAGACATTTAATCCAAACGCGAATGAAATTTTCTGATCTTATTGATGAATGGAAACATTGCACCCGACGCGTCACTAGTGCGCTGCCCTCGATTAGCTGCAGAAGCACCGCCACTACACGTACTTAATGAATGAGAAACTTTGCTGATTACCCGAACGAAGACCTCGCTGGCCGTCACCACGCTGGTGTGCATGTCCTGGCACACGGCCACCATTCCGTCGCGCACCGCACCCGACACCTCGATGCCGGGGATGTCGCTGAGGAAACGGGTCGCTACAGACTGGAGAAACAATTCAGCACCGTCGTCAGAAAAAAACATCGCAAGTCGACAAGAGAAAAAAAACAAGACGGTAAGAGAATATTCGATAGGGAGTAAAAGAGGAATATCTTCAGAAAATGAATGAGGCACTTCCTGGTATTAACGGGACAAAGAAGAGAGGTGGGCGAGACGTACCTTAAGAGCAGAGGCGGGCCACGTGCTGAACCAGTCAATTGTGCAGCAGTTAACCAATGCTGGGAACATCCGCAGCCGTGCCCTGAACACATCTCCGATTGGGCTAGAGAAAAGTAAGAAATTGTAGAAACTAGTCATTGAACTCACAATCGATTCATTGTAATTCAGATAAAAGCATTTGTTAGTGCCAGACATTTTTTACAAATTCTGATGTACGAAACTATCACTGGTAAATTAAAAAACGCAGTTGTACGTTGCCAGTTCTCGCGCTTTGAAGAACAGTAAGTCGATAGAGAAGTGTCGAACAAATTTCGAAATTTAATTGATTTGAGTTCCGTGTAAATTGGCAAATTTCATGAAAGGAATTCATTGTAAAATAATCAACGCAAATTTGTCATGGTATTAAGATTTCTCATATGTTTTCAAAGCCTTCAAGATAAAGTATAGACTAGTCGCTAATAATACCTCATCGTAATGATGCAATGCAAGTTGGACTTGACCGTCCGCTGGAAGGCTGAGAACATGTTGGAACGCGTGGCTTGCAGGCCCTGCTCCGTCACCACGCCTCGCATCAACTGATAAATCTTGTCCAACTCTTCGGCCTCGTAGATGTTTGGCACGTCACCCGAGCTGAGCACACTGTTGATGTCCTCCAGGAAAGATTCTGATTTTATCTGGAGAGGGGTTGAAGAAGCTTAGGGGGCGTTATGCCAGTAGCTTATGAAAGCTCCGTTTGCTCCGTTGAGCACTGAATGTCGAGTCACTCGAGTCATTTTTGCGACATTTTTGGTTGCAAATGTCACTCATTTTGAGTTATTTCCGCGAACATCGCTCTATTAGTGGACAGTCTTGCACGAGACGTCCCCTCTCCCACTGCGGTCCTCAGTAAAAGGCGCCTGTTGAGGATTCAGAAGCAACACAGTACGCAGGCATACCCAGCGGGCTTGCCTACTCAATCGGTGACAGGCGCCCGCCGCTCACGCAATAACTACGAGACAAGTACCCAACAAATCATAGAGAAATACGTTGTTATGTATTATACAGGGTCTCACACTTTATAGAAAATGACGCCGAGAAATTCACAACTTCTATTGCACGACAACGAAAGGCCCCACGAGGCCTTTCAGAATCAGTAGAATCTGCGGTGTACAGTAGCAGCGTAGGCGCAAACACAGCAAAATATGGACCGGGATGGTATATAAGGAGGGCAGGCGGTGGGCGAGGGCCGCGGAACGGTGCAAGCCAAGTTACTCATGGAGCCCGGCAAAGAGCGAGCTATGCGAGCCTACCCCGACCCTCTCTCATCTGTCCAGGAAGGGGCCTAGCTCGCATAGCTCGCTCCTTGAAGGGCTCTTGGCTACTCGCAGCCGGCCATGATCCCCCGCGCGGCGCGCCCCGCCCGGTCCATGTTTTGCGTGATTGCGCGTGTTTTCACCGCCACTACCCCGCAGATTCTACAGACTCCGTGCCTCAGTGCAACCTCGGTTTTCGTGAAAATAAAGTTGTGAGTCTTTCAGCGTTATTTTCTGTAAAGTGCGATTGCCGTTGGTCGCCGAGGTCCCAAATTTCGCTCACCGTACCTCGATAACACCTTTCCGTAGGGGTGGGATGATGGGCCACCGTATATACTATTGCATACGGGCCTTCGCATGCGCCTTGGTTCCAGCCTCCACTCCCCCCCCCCCTTCCTCCTTGCGCCACCTGACCTGAGGAGGGTTTATCCAAGGCTGCAGCCACCGCATACGTACCTGAGTGTCAGAGAAGAGGAACACCGTCTCCTTCATGTACAGCCCGGCTTTGAGCAGCAGATGCTTCAGGTCCTCGCGCCACTCGGGCAGCCCGTAGGCTCGGCTCAGCACAACTTGGAAGCACGTCAAGTCCAAGGCGAAGGCGGCGAGCCGTGTCAGGCTTTGCCGTCCTACGAAGCCATCCGTCAAGTGTCGGCAAAGAGGCATTGAAAACCGCAGGGCATGGGGGCTTTGGGATCGAGTATCAAGTGAGTATCAAGTGAGTCGATGATGAGATGCGGGGAGATTACGCATCCCACCCCGAAGAAAGGTCAGCAGCCAAGGCCGAGAGCAGGCAGGACCGTGGTGTAGCAAAAAACCGAGGGACAACTAACTCCGAAATTTCGCGCACTTGTGAGACTCTAATAGTGAATATCACTGAATAATTACTGAACATCACCTGAAGGTATTAATTCCCTCGCGAACCGTAAGAAGTTACTGCCCCCTCGCAAAAAACGGCCATGGTCGTGCTGCAGCACGCGTCTAAATAGGACAGCGTTGGTGTTTACAGGTTTTACCCCTCTCTTTCCGCCTTTGTAACGCAATTGAGCTCGCCCTACCTATGCAAAACAGTTTACCGTGAAACTAGTTCTTCACATTGAACACTTACCCGAGCCGCCCATGCCGAGCAGGAGCGCGTTGCCTTGCGGCTGTCGCAGGATGCGGGCGATGCGACACACGTGCTGCACGGCGTCCGTGAACAGCACCAGCCTCATGGGCGCAATGCTCTGCGAGTTGTATTCGTCCAGCAGCTCCACCAGCACGCTAGACAGCTAGAGCAGAGCGAGAGGGGCCTCACTGACCACCACTATTTTTGGTGCTTTTATTGTTCAAATTAAGTTGGAGTTGGCGATGAACGTGATCATGCGTTGGGTATGCTGGCTTTGTAAATAATTGAGTTTCCCCCCGGGCAGCTCGGGTAGGCAGGTGCACGGGCCGATCACTGATTAGGTCCGCCATACATACATCATGAGGCCCAGTGGGCCCTGTTCACCTCGCATTTCGATCCAATTAGAGCACAGTCTGAAGCGGGCCGTACGTCGTACCTCCGTCACCGGAGGAGAACCCTTACCTGACTATTCCTAGTAAAGGCTCACCCTGTCCACGTCCGTGATTCTGTCATACTCCCGTTCCGGATTGGACAGTTCACCAAAGTACAGTGGGTCCTCGCCGACGGGATCCTGGTTGAAGCGCGTCCGCATCACGGCCCGCAGTCGCTCGCTGAACCACGCCCTGTCCTTGTCGTCCACCAGCCTGTCCTGCACAGTGCACGTCGATGTAAGGTGAATTTATTACTGCCGCAGGATGCCCAACAAGTCGGTTGGATCCAGCTCCGTACCTGATAGACGCGGAGGTTTTCGTGGTACCAGAGCACCAGCAGCTGATCAAGCGAGGCGACGTTCTTCGGGTCGGCCATGAGCACTCCCTGGAACACCTTGCTGAGGTCGCGCAGGTTGAACGTGTAGTGCGTCTTGGTCGGGGTGGGCAGCAGCTCCCGGAGCACCACGTCGTAGACGTCCAGACTGGCGCGCACCAGGCGCTCCTCCTCGTCAGCCAGGGTCTGGGTGCGCGACAGCCACCAGCGGGTGATGGTACCGAAGATGGTCATCTGCAGGCAAATTTCGATATGGCTACTCGCGTTTCTGACCCCAAAATAGCCCTTGAGTTTTAGCGGGAGTACACACCTTGCTGTCTTCTTGCAACTCCGTAAAGGACAAGTAGTGGAAGTGGCGCATTACCCGGGGAGTGACAGGGTTGCGACCACCGCCTGGCGGACCCATCGCCACAATCAGGTTGACGTCGACGATCTGCCGGAACTCGCCCACGGCCTTTCGATCATACCAGCCTGCGAAAAGTGAAAAAAAAAGGCAAACAATTTAAACAAGCGACATGACATGCGACACATTCCAAAGCAATAATTGCTCGTTTGGTGTCATCTTTCTTCATGGGGATACCTTGAAAGTCGAGCCATTGGCGAATTAGCTCGATGGGGGGCTGCGCGCCGTACACCTCCAGGGCTGGCATGTTGAAGTCGTCGATAAACAAGAGTTGTCTTTTGTTGGGAGGCGGCCCGAACACCCCTTTCCTTCGCCGATCTAACTTGGCGTCTATCACGTCCTGTGGGCGTGATTTCAGCCAATCTATCATATCCGTCCAGAGTCAGTCGGGCGCGCCTTTTCCGGCGACACAAGCCACGCTTCACGTGTCACACATTGGCTGGCCGGCTCTCCGAGGAAAATTAGACGCGCCAACACACCTGAGTCTGCTTGGCGGAAGTGCGCGCCGAGAAGCAGAGGAAGTCGGCGATGTACTTGTCGGGCAGCCCTCGGTCGAGCTTGGCCACCACCGTGAGGGTCTTGCCCGTGCCCGTAGGCCCCACGCACGCCACATTGTGCCCCTGCGTCACTAGCAGCCCCAGCATGGCGGCGCTGCGCCGCGTGTCGAGAGTCGGCACCTCGATGTCTACGAGGACCGGAGGAAAGAAGGCCGAGTATAGAAGCACCCCCAAACTATTCCATTCAGCAGAATCGATTGGTGGATTACCCGAATAGCGGATCTCCTTGGGTATGACAAAGGGCTCCTCGCCCTGCATCCAGTGCACCCAGTGCGGGGCGGCGGGCTCGCCGTCGTCCGTCGCGTCCTGGAAGCCGCCGTCGTGGAGTCGGTAGTCGTAGACGAGGCCCTGGGCGGGGAAGGCCGGGCGCGCTGCGCGCCGCTCCATGGTGCCCCGCACCCACTGGGAGAACCTCTCCCGGGAGGCGTCGTCGCAAGTCGCGCCCACCGACCACACCACGGCGAACACCACCCACGGCACGAGCAGCTCGGCTGGAACCAGACAGAGTGGCGTGACTCACATCCTGGGCGAAAAGCGCTAATGAAAGAGTATACACAAAAACATGGAGCAAAGCATGCATCTGAAATAAAAACAGGGCACCACTTTGTGAGCGGAGAGTGGAGCAACGCCGTCCGCAGGGCGCTCACAACCAGGAAAACGTCCGAGGGAGTAGCAATTTGCGTAGAAGCGTCTGCGCACGCTTGCACACCGATGAATGTATTTGATAATTATCAATACTTTTTGTAATTAATAATTCAAAAATAAGCGCTTTACCCCATCAGTAATGAGTATCGTAAATTAACGATGGCCGGTTTTCGCTCGCTTGTCGAAGAATTCCAAGTCAATACATATCGTTAAAAGTATGTTAAGATAAGAACTTTATTAAATTTATTTTTGGAAATGTGCCCGAATATTTGACAATTAATATACAAAGTGCATTACCTGCCTCCCTCTCCTCCACCACACACACATTGTTCCTCTCTCGCGCAGCAGAGCCCCCCCCCCCTCGTTAGGGTTCGAAAACGGAATGTGGACAGACATGACAAAGCTTTCGGATTGGAGAAGTGAAGTGGCCGCACGCCACACAATCAGGGCCTTTCGTAAAGAGGTCGTGGTGGTTTCATTTTCTCTTAATAAAGATCGTGCTTTATTGTTCGGGAAAGTGGACCTGCCTAAACCACGTACAACGTATTCAGCTCTTGGCCCAGCAAAACGTAGTGTGGATCGAGGGCTTGAATAACCCTTTTGCTGGACGAAACATATTTGCTAGTTGTACTCTTTTCCTTTTTTCTATTTAATTTGGGGGTGTTCAGAAACTCACGCAAAAGGGCGAGGAACGGCGCAGCAGGGGGCGGCCTGGGACCCCGGAGGGGTGCGAGGCGCGCATCCAGCAGGCGCAGGCAGCCCTGCACGATGCAGATGTCCGACGACTCGAGGTACTCGTCGACGGCTAGCTCGCCGCGCAGAGCCGTCACACCACCCACGAGGTAGTCGGCGAGGACCGCGCGCAGGTCCGATTCTAGGGAGGGAAGCGCGTCCAGCCCGTGCTGCGGCAAAGAAACTTGAGATTCACTACGCTTCCTTGCCCACGGATGAGCCTTTTGTCCGATAGTCAGCGCTCCATTTTCTCCTTCTCTTGTTATTTTTTTTTTTTGTTAATTACCAAGCAGACGCTTTTCAAAGAAAATTTATGTGGGCGTCGGTCTGCTAATGAAGCACTCCGTCCGGGACGTGCCAGACGAGACGCAGTCGCTCACCTGGGGCAGCGTCAGGAGCCAGCTGTCCAGGAAGGGAGCGAGGCCCAACACGCTCGGCTCCAGGTACACCATCCCGCAGCGCGACACGGTGGCAGGGCTGGCCACGGCCAGATCGGCCACCTCGAACATCATGGTCATGTGCTCGCTGAGCTTGATGATCTCGCCGCTCGTCAGGCACAGCTTCTTGTTGTCGTCCAGGACCGTGTTCATGTTCTCGATCCACACGGCGTCGACGGGGCCGTCGAACACGTACCACCGTTTGTCCGCGTCCGTCTGCGCCGCGCCCACGCGCACCAGCGACGGCAGGATGCCGTCCGTCCTTGAGGGGGAAAGGAAAACACTTTTTCATGCGGTGTCAACAAACGGCAGCGGCACTGTTTCCACGAGGGGGCTCGGCTGTAACCGATTTCCCAGACCGCCCCATGGGGGCGAAGTGGAGCGAGTGCGTACCACTCGTGCGTGACGGCGTCGAACTCGCCGTACAGCTGCCCCATGGTAATGGACTTGGGGTTCATGACGAAAGCGTGCACAGGCGTGAAAGGAGATCCGCTGGGAGACTGCTTGCCGGCCACCTGCGTCATGGCGGCCCGCAGGACCTCGTAGCACTGCAACACCGGGAAGAGTGCTTTTTGCAATCACGCCATGGAGGGTCCATAGGCCGTGGGGTCGGGCATGGGACGCGGGTCGGGTCGGGCAAGAACGGGACGACCAGGAGCACGCGGCGCCGTTAGCATCACGTCCAGGGCGGTATATGAGGGACCGGGAGAGGCGAGGCCAGGGCGAAGGGCTTTCGGAGCTGCACCGACCTCCCCCCTACCCCCTGTAATGGTTTCAGAGGGTCTCAGCGGCTCACTGGACCACTGGACTTAGGCCAATTGCTCGGACAACTTAATCTGAATTGCGAGAGAGCGAAATGGCGAAATGACTAGGCCCACCGGGAGAGGCCAGGGGCCACGGCCTGTGTTATATATTAATGAGGAAACGTGTTGAAAAAGTTTACGGTGCTTTCTTGAAAAAACTTCTGGAGCGCTCCTCGCGCCCAACTCCGCGAACCGAGACTTCTATATGGACAAGAGGCCCAATAAAAAGGGGGCGTAGCTAACTGTAACACAGCCCTCCGCGAAATATATCATGGATGGAAGTTTATCGTCATTTGGAGACTCTGACACTAAACTTCCGAAAAATTAAAAAGAGAAGGTAGCGATGTGCGCAGCCCTTTTAAAACTTTACATCAGAAACACATAGCAACAAAAAATGAAAATGGTAAAACCGGGGGAACGTGGACTCCTGCACGACTGATCATACTCACAGGAAAATGCGAACTCATAGCACCGTGGTGAAAAGCGACAAGGGATAGAAAGTGTCACCAGGGAAAGTGAAATATACCACTAAGCATCCGCATCCGTATCGGAAGAGGCCCGCGACGCGGGAGGTACGCCGCCGCGCCGGCCCAGTGGGGGCCAGTGGGAGGGGGGAGGGCTGTTGGTGGGGCTAGCGTAGCCGTGGCGGCAGTCTCGCCGGGAACATGCTACAGAGCGGACGAGGGGGCTAAGCAGCTCACTCCGACACTTTCGTCGAAACGGACGCACTGCAGCCCCTCAGCCCGCCTTCTCTCGCTCGCGTGAACTTTGAGCCCGCGTCTCGCTGGGACGACATGCCCTAACCCTACCGTGAAGGTCCGCGCGCGAGTGCCTCAGACGGATAGTGAGCAGGAAAGAGAAAGAGTGAGTGGCACCATTTACCACACACCGGATTAACGCACATGCATGTAAGTACTACCGGTCGAACATTCTTCTAACATCAGAGAAATGCTACGTGCACATGATCCCAGACGATGACGAAGACAGGCCATCACTGCACTGCAAAAATTAATAACGGCAATAGCAAACTGACGGTTAGACCCGTTAATTGTAATCCGGTGGTTTCCGTTTATTAAAATGGCGCTAAGTATAGACCGACCGTACCTCCGTTTGAGCGCTACAGAGTCGTAAAACGATTCTTCCGTACTGCTTTCTGTGGATACGGTGAAGCCGTTTAAGGGCTCCGTATTAAAAAGTCAGTGCACCGAAAACATTTCAGTGAGGTGTCGTTCTCGAAATGAGTGAGGCAATTTTGCCTCGCTCAATCAAAGCGATAACTATAACGCTCACCCTATTTGAGTCATGTGCATCGAATTCTCTCTCTGAAGGAGTACGATTTCCCTGACCTCGCCCAATTGCTTTGGGGAACCCCACTCTCATAAGTGAGGACCGCAGATTATGACTCAAATTGAGCCAGAGTCAGATATCTCGCTCGTGAGAGAGCGAAATTATTTGTGTCACTGATATGGAGTACAAGACCTACTCTCATGTCACTGATCTCGATCTCGCTCTTCTGAGAGTGAGATGTCTGACTAGCATTTTCAGTGTGGGCACGGTCTCTCCGTACTCTATGCTCCGTAGCATATTTCAGTTTGGAGGGTACGGTGCACAGTAGCTGGTACCGTGTCCGTCTCTCATTTCTTACAGTATGTAAAATTTATTCCTTCGTAAAGTTTAGGAGAAGGTTTTCAACGACGAATCCAAATGGTAAATTTGTATATTTTTCATAGGAAAAATGAATCAACTAGGTCAGGGTTATTACAAATTCTACATTTTTAATTTAACTGACCATTCCATTACTTTTTCCTGACCGAAATCTCGATTTTTACTGACTTTCCAGGCAAAAGAAAAGGCAAAATTTCGAGAAACAGGATAAAAATTCATAACTTTTTTTTGCGAATTGTTAGTAACAATTTGTTACACATTTGATGACAAAGGAGCAGTCGACGGGAGAAATTTTACTTACTGCGTCCTCAGTTTTCCTGACCTTCTCTGACTTTGACTTTCACGGACTGTAATAACCCTGTAAGTTGTCTTTGTGAAGCCAGTCGTACATTTACGGTTGAGTTTGTAAAACATCGCGATAAATGTATTCGTTATTTTTTGGCCATGCGTTCGTGCGAAACCAACGTTTCGTCGCGCGTTTCGTCTCGGACAAAATTGTTGTAGTACACGTAAATTAATGCACAAAAGTGTTCGAATCTATGCGGAAAGCAGTGCAGATAACTTGATCACCTTTGTCCAAGTAAGATACAAATTTATTAGGTGTGATGTATACCTTTCCGAATTAGCAACCGCGTGGATGGAAATACAATTTCACTTTAAAATCAAATTGACTTTTAAAAATGTACGATTTTCTTTTTGATTATTTTAGTGCAAGTCATTTGGTGCACACTTTCTTCAACCTGTCTGCTGCTATATGGCACAAAATATACTGTCCTCTTTTTCAGTGCGGCTGCGCATCTTTAGGATTGAATACGCCAGCAAAGCGTGACCACATAGTGATCACGCCACACTGAGCGTGTTAGAATATCTAATATGAGAAATGTCAATTTTCACGCGTACAATTTTGCAAATTTTTATTCAGTATCACCATAAAGGCCTGGTATGTCTACATTAAAGAGACATGGCCATGTGTGCACTGAATACGCAAGAGTGTGCAATGTCGCACGCTTGCAGGTGTGTGAATGTACACTTAAGATAGTAGTAGTAAAATTTACAAAAGCGTCTGGAATTTTTCGTTAAATTTACAAACGTGTGAATTTTTTCTCGAAATTTACACTCTTGTGCCCTCATGTGTATGAATACGTTTCAACCAAATATTCGACATTCTACGCTTCGGTACCTAATTTCTTTAATGCAAACATACCAACCATGCCTACTTTCATAAGTAGACAATGAACCATTTGAGGTGACAGGAAACCATCTGCCCTTTACGATGAAAAAACAAAGATGCTGTATTTATTACATAACAGGGTAACAGGGTGTTAGTACTCTTTAAGAGGCACGAACGAAGGGCCTTTAAAAGTTCGCCTTTTGTTTTTCCACACTCTTAAATTCTTACAAAGAAAATTCTTGTATTACAAAGAATTTTGTGCGCAACCGTAATACAAAGACAAATTTTCTTTGTAATACAAAGAAAACTTTTGTGTAATACGAGGAAATTTCTAGTGATACAAGGACATTTTCTGTATATTACGGTTGCACAGAATTCTTTGGATTATACGAACAAGATTTAGAGTGCAGTGTATGTAAATAACCTAAAGGCCTGCTGTAGAGCAGGCTCGGTATAGGGACCGGCTGACAGAGGGGGGGGGGGCGATGCACTGTGGGTTGCCTACACACAAGATTTT